GAGACTCCAGGACTAGCGAAGATTCATTTCATGGCAAAATTCAGAAGACCATCTTCGTCAGCCGCATCTTACTGAAAACAAATCATTTCCGGTTAAAATACAGTAACATCTTGTGCCACAGCTGGTGTGAGCAAAATGTGAAGCATCTGCTTCATTATGCAAATCAATCATTGCAGAGCCTCTCTGGGAGCAGGTGCCAGAGCGAGGGCTTGTCTACACTTAAAATCCTGCAGCAGCGCAGCTGAACCAATGCAGCAGCACCACTGTAGCGCTTCACTGAAGACGCAACCTATGCAGACAGGAGAGCTTCCCCCCATCGGCGCAGGAACTCCACCTCCCCAAGAGACCATAGCTGTGTCAATGGGAGAAGCCCTCCCCTCGACAGAGTGCTGCTCGGGGGTGTGGATTCCCCCTGAGCAACGTAGTTATACTGACATAAGTTGCTAGTGTAGACCAGGCCCAAGAAACCAAACCAAACCCTCTGCATACTAAAGACAGGAGACCGTGGCTTCAATTAACAATTGTCACGATCGAGTTCCAGCTGCATCTGACATGGCCAAGCAGTTATGCAACAAAACACCTGCCTTTGTTCTGAGCATTCTCTCATGAGGCTGGGGCTACACCCTCCCTCCCATGCTCCCATCATGAGTGAAATGGGGGGAGAGGGGTTAATTCTTCAGTGGTTTCTATACATTCAGCATGTGTGATGCTGCTGACTTAGAGCATTACCTAAATGTGAGACCATCCCCAGTCTGACGGACAGGGATCTGACCGGAGGCGAGTCACTGCTAAGAGGAGAGAGAAGAGGGCTGCTTCTGGAGCAGACAGAATGGTTACACCAGCTATGCCTGTGAGACAGCCTTTGTGGAGGGGGAGAGTAGAAAGGGGTTGGCCAAAATACTCCATTTGCTTAATGTTATTGGGGGGAAATTCTTATTTGAAGAAATTAGGCGCATTGTATAGAGTGTTATAAATGACTGGCTGGGCCCCCAGCAGCACCTGCTGAGCCAGCCCAGGCTGGAGTGGAAGTAGAGGGGTCAGGGATATTAGGAAAAAAAACTTGTTTTGCCAGTAGGCTGCTGTAGATGTTTTGTTCCATCTGCCCTAGAGGGACACTGAATTCCTACAATTCTGCAGCTGTTTTTTCATTTTCCAGGAGCCCGAGAATGTGACGCCATTTCATGTTTCGTCTCTTCCAGGTTTGGGGAACGATTATGGTGTAAATATCCCTCTTCTAAGCTAATGCCCCAACTCGTTCCATAAATGAACATTCCTGGCTGTAGGAAAAAAGCACACTTGCTACTCGAGCCCAGGCTCCCGCTAGCTCCTTAGCAGAAGCTCACAACAGTGGGAAGGGAGGCGGCAGACTGCAAGGAAAGCTTAGCCTGGGGATCGCAAACTATAAGAAGTATCTGTAAAATGCCATAGGGGACATTTGTGTGTGTAATTTATGCCAGCTCAAGTATAAACATGAGCATCGAGGCCTGCCAGCCGCTGAGGTTTGCACCCAAACAATGATGGCAGGATCAAAGGCAGTTGTTAGCACAGTCTGAATTTTTCCACTAGCACTAAGCAGTGCCCGGCTTATGATTTGTCATAAGCCAGCCTTTGAGGTCCGTAACAAATAAAACCCCACCTTTGGGGTTTGTAAACACATCAGAACAAATCGGCTGTGGACTAGGCAGCACAGAGTAGGGAAGCTAGTAATGGGAACAAGGAGTCCTGCACAGAGGAAGGGGCACACTGGAGACTTCAAGGAGTTTGGTTGAAAATAATAACGAGTCCCCACGCCAGCGAGAGGGAGGTCGCCCGGCACTTCCTAGTTTAGGCGTCAACAGCAATGAAGCGTTCACTGTACAAGTTGTTTCAGCCACATTCATCACCCAAGGGCCTGCCAACCACCCTCCCCCACTCCACAACTGCCTTGAGTCACTGTCTCCCTGAGCTCCCCAGCACGCCAAGCCCTGACGCAGGCTTCAGCCACGGCAGAAGATCGCCTCCAATAATTAAACATGGAGATTGATAAATATATTTATTTATAACGCCTCTTCAAAGGACAGATTCTGAAAATAGAATAACAGAGTACAACAATCACAACAGAGCTCATGTCAGCACAACTATCAGCAACACAGTTACCAGCAGTCTCTGCCTTGTGGTTTCCAGCAAACATAATTCAGTTACTCAATCAGTATCAGCGACATTTGGTGCAACAATAGGTCGCAGCAGATTCTTTTACACACAGACTAATCCCGGATTAAAAGCATGGTTAGAATGAACCATCCCTTATGATCCCTGCTCCACTTTTATTAGTCACCCTTTAGATAGTAAAGACTCCGGGACTGGCAAACAGGCTCCTAAGACATATGTCCCACTTTTAGAGAAACCCTGTTTCCTTGGGTACGATTCTAGAGAAGAAATATGGTGTTCCTAATTCAGCCCGCCCAGGCAGAAGACATTCCATCATCATCATCAGTGTGGTTATAAGCTAATTATTGAGGTGAGTGCTCAGAAAAGCTACATTGCAAGCAGGTCACTACCCCAGATGGACTTTGCTTGTGCCTGGATTTATGGCAGAATTTTCTGCCCTTTCAGAGGCTTCCTCCACCCATCATTCTTATACCTGGACACATGGGCGGTGGGTGAACCACAGGCTTGGGGAGGATAGCCCCTGACCTGGCCCACCCCTTCTGCCTGGGGACCTGCCCCTCCCACTCCCCTTCCCACCCCAAAGTCCAGAGCGCCCGCGCGCCCCCCTCCCCCGGTCACCCGAGCACCTCCAGCCCCAGAGAACCCAGTGGGTGGCCCCCCACCAGCACAGGAGCCTGAGTGGGCAGGCAGTGCACAGCCTCTCCTCAGCCCCAGAGCACTGGGTGGGCGGCACATGACCCCGCCCCCCCCAGTCCCGGAGCACCAGGTGGGCGGTGCATGGCCCCCCTCAGCCCCGGAGACTGGGCGGGTGGTGCACGACCCCCCTCAGCCCCAAAGCACCGGGCGGGCAGCGCACAGTCCCAGCGCCAAGGGCCCCCCCAGCACTGGGTGGCCTCAAACACCTCAAGTCCCAGCCGCCCTATCCCCAGCCAGCTTCCCAGAAGAGGATCAGCCTGCCTGAGCTGGGGCCAACTAGCAGCAGGAGGGGGTCTTGGGGCAGAGCATGGGCGGGGCCAGGCGGGGATGTTTGGGGAGGCACAGCATCCCCCAGCCTATTAGACACGCCGCCCCTGCGGGATGTCATTCGTTCCAGGTAATCCCAAATCTCAGGCTAGGAAAGTCACATGGCAGTAGCCCCAGGCAGCTTCACTTTGTTTGCAAGTCACATAGTCCTACAGGTTTTTGGCAGGGAAGAGTGCAGCTTTGCAGCCTGCTTAATGCGTATGCTGTGTGTCTGCTCTGTTCCCCTTTGGATTTCACAGGGAGAGGCACAATCATGAGGGTTTAAGGTTCATTAAAAACACAAGATTCCAAAAAGGAACTAACCGGGGAAGTTAAAACAAGGCTTAGAGGTCGTGTATGGAACTAGGAAACAGCAACCTATTCCTACTCAGAACTACTAATACGAGCTAACCTAAATCAACCAAAGAATCAGATACACGAATATCAGCCAACCTTCAAGTCAGCTGGGCCAGTGACTGTCAGCAGCGGGGCTGCCACCTCAGACCAAGTCCAGGTCAGATTTGTGCTCTCCGGCCTATGGATGGGTGGTGAATACGTACAGCTAGGGGAACTGGGGAACTACGGCCTTCAGGGGTCAGTGGGGCCATTGATTAGTCCCTGATGTGGGGCAGCGTTTACCAGGATGCTGGGAGAGTAGCCTAGCCTCAGGAGATGTTAAGACAGGAGGTTCTACAAACTTGGCCTTTAAGAAGATGCCAATGATTTCAGCCGACAGCTCAGGCCAGTTGGTTTACTGGCCAGGGCAGCTCTTGGGTTAGGAATCCAAGGGTGTGTCTACATTTAAGCTGCAGCAGCACCGCTGTAGCGCTTCAGTGCAGACACTGCCTATGCCAACGGGAGGGGTTCTCCCATTGGTTCTCCCCGATAGGCAGCAGCTAGGCTGAGGGAAGAATTGTTCCATCGACCTGGCGTTGTCTACACAGGGGTTAGGTCGGCACAGCTACATCTCCCACAGGCGTTTTTCACATCCCTGAGAGACGTAGCTATGTCAGTGTAAGTGCCCAGTGTAGACCAGCCCCAAGTCCTGCCTTGCCCCCTCAACAGCGTGTTCCCTTGGTTAGCACAGGCACCTTAGCTGCTCTTCAGAAGCATAAGGGAAAGCTCTCCCTGCTCGGATACTCCCATTAAAGTGTTTTCCTACGTTGGGGGAGGGCTGGGGGTGTGTGTGCAGCAGAGGACTGTGATTTCACTCAATCACCCTCCCTGCTACACAGACAGCTGCTTTACATGCAAACAAGGCGTGAACGGTGGCAGAGTAATTCACAGAGTCCCATAGTGGCGGGAGTTTGCCCTCTTCACCCCCATCAGACAGGAAGAGGTGCTGGCACTGAATGACTAGCGCTCAGAAGGGAGGGGGTTTCACTGAGGGCTGCCCCACAGCAGCTAGCCAGCTCCTAATCTCTTCTGCAGAGGCAGCATAGCCAGGAGTCAGTCTGGCAAGAAGGAAGCATGTGGCACAATGCCTACCCTCTCCACAGGTCCGGGAGCCCCACATCCATCCCCACGGCCACTAGTTTCCACCCTCCCCTGTATCAAATTGGAGAATCCACATGGGAGAGACTAAGGGTCTGTCTACACTGCAGTAGGACACCTGTGGCTGGCCCACGGCAGCTGACTCAGGCTCGTGGGGCTCAGGGTGCGGGACTGTAAAATTCACAGTGTAGAGACTGGGCTTAGGCAGAAGCCCAGGCTCAAGGACCCTCCCACCTCGCAGGGTCCTGGAGTCATCTGACACAGGCCAGCAGTGGTGTTTTACTGCAGCGTAGACATACCCAGCTGCACTCACTGGGGTCTGTATTTCACAAACACCCATGGGTGCTACCCACTAACTTCCATGGGCGCTAGCCAGGCCTGCGGGTTCCAGCGATCTCCCTTCCTGTGATGCTGAGTCACTAGATGGAATTTTCTAGCCAACCTTAGCTGAATTTAAGAGGTACAGAAACCCTAGATCTTGTGCCAGTTTTAGCCAATATTGTGTGTGCCCCTGAATCCTTCCCTAGTCAGTCTACGGAGCTCAGAGGGTCATTGCTTAACCCTGGAGGAAAGTGGAGAGGCTGTAATGCATGGCAAGACCCACACCACAGGCCAGGAGTTTCAGGATTGGGGCCAGAGCCACCTGCCCAGCGCCATTGAAGTGCACGTTGCCATCCAGTTTCAGGCAGCTCGTTTTAGGGGTAGCCTGGCAGCATTCCTGGTAACAGAGACCAGCTGCTCCTGTGGTACAGGCTGGGCTGGCGGTCTTGCAGACTTTGCTACATCCAGCCACGTAATTTGAGCCAGTCTTCTTCATCTGCAGGAAGGAGACAGACATTAGCAGCCTTGGGCGTTAGCACCCCTCTGGGTTCTTGCATTCATGTTAATGGGACCAACTCAAAACCCCAGGCACATCCTCCTGGTTCAGAGGCAGAGGATGCGCAGAGTCAGCTTTAACCAAAGCTGCAGTGCCCATATCAATACTCTAGTTGAGGCCCTTGTTGGAATCTCCAAGAGGTCAAGGACAAAGAGAACCACAGAGACTCAACTACTCCCTGCCCCAGGTGTTTGTCCCAGGGAAGTTTGCTGTTGATGACTCTGCATTAGCTGCTCTGTGGATGAAGCCCTCCAGAGCTGTCAAGATGGCACAAGATCCACAAACATCTCTATGCTGCAAGTGCTGTCAAGAGCCCAGCATCAGCTGTGAAATGGCAGCACTGACGGAGCAGTGTCAGATGGAGCTGAGACCTGGCCTGGAGCCCTTCAGTGCTGCTCCAGTCACAGCTCTAGTTAAGAGGCACAGCTCAGGGTGGTTAAAGAAGTGACAAACAAGTCCCGTACCTCACAGAAGTCGAATCCAACGATGCATTGAGCAGCAGACTTCTGGCCTTTGAAGCATCCATCTCCATTACAGGAGAAGGTTGTGCACACTTTCCCCTACAAGACAGCCAGGAAAGACACCGTGAACAACCACCACTCCAGAGAGCAGAGCTACCAGAACAAGGTCTGACGTTTAAGTCACTTTCCTTTCGCCTGGTCGTTATGAGACGCTTGTGTGAGGAGCTAAAATTCACACAGGGAAAGCAAGAGGTCCCAGGCACCCCAGCATCAGCAGATTGCCCTCCAAGAGCCAGGTGGCTATTGGGCAGTGACTGGCATTGTACAGGCAGTGCCAGCAAGCCCAAATCTTCATTGACAAGACCATCTTTCAGGGGCTGGCAGTCACATCGTACAACATTCACTGACAATACAAAAAGATCAAAGAAAAATCACCTCCCAACACCGCAATGTTGCAGAAAGCTTCACTAACATTGCACCCTAGCTGGCAAGTGCCAAACCCTCCTCTGCCTCCACCCTCATGGAGGGGGCTCTGCAGGGTCCCACAGAGAGAAGCAATCTCCCAGCCATCATCTGGGAATCTCTTCCAAGAATCAGAGGACTGAGATGAAAGTGTCCTGTTATTGATCCCTCTGGTCAATCTCCCCAGGGGCTGATGCATGACAGTCACTCACTCACTCACTCACACTCTCACTCTCACTCTCACACACACACACACTGCCCCTCCCTCAAACATGGTGTGTAAGAGCTTTGGCCCCAGAGACGGATCCCAGGATAGCAGTCTCAGAATCTCCTCCCAGTGCCCCAGGACCTTCCTGCCATTCACCACAGCACTGTGAATAGGGCTCATCCTGCAACTAGTATTCCAAGCTACTTGGATTGGCAGCGCATGGAAGAGGAACATTTGGCTGGGCTCGTTACCGACCGTATCCTTGCCTGGCTCTATACGAATCTATTCCCTCTCACAGAGGCTACATATTGACCTTTGAGAGCAGATAGCATGGGGAACATTTCATCCACCAGTAAAAGGCAGCCATTTCTGGGGTGGAACACCACAGTTTAACAGTTCACAGCAACACTACTCAGCTTAGCATTCCCACTGGCAACATGCCTACACAGCTCTGCTGTCTGATCATGCTGGAAGGCAATACTTACATTTCTGGGAGGGGGCTTCGTGGTGGTGGTTGTGGGAGCTGGAGTGGTGGTGGGCGGCAAGTCACCTGAAACAGACACGAAAGGAGACTGGTGAGACAGAGCCCTCCTGCCGCTCTGCATTTCCATGTAGCCTTGGGACCCGGGGCTAGAATCCAGAACGTGGCCAGAGACGGACGCCCCAGTGGAAGCCGCTGGAGTCATTTTAACATGGGGATTTACATTAGTGCACTTCAATACAGGAGACGGGTATTCAGCAGCCTCATTCCAGAACGTGAACCACATCGGTTACTTCCCACCAATCCCTGCTCTCCCTACCAAAGCTCAGGTGTGTTTGGTGCCTAAGAACTGCCAGGCCAGGCCAGGCGTCCATCTAGCCCAGTATCTGGTCTGACAGCACCTTGGAGACAAGTTCAAAGAACCCCCACAATGGACATCTGTGAAATGTCCCTTGTAGGCAGGTTATTTCTTCCTCCGGTAAGGATTGTTCTCTGCCCCAAGCCCTTCTATTTTTTGCCCCAGCTAATGGAACTGTGGATGTTTTCATCATCCAGAGACGTGTCTAATCCTTTGAGAAAAAGTCTTGTCACATTTTTGGACTCTGACATCTTGTGGCAGCAAGTTCCACAGGTTAGTTAGTGATCATTTGGTCACTAGTTTCACCTTGGCACAACGGCAGTGAGTGGTCTGGGGAGTGGCTGAGTGAGCCAGTCACACTCCTAATGGGAATCTGAACAGGTGGCTAAGTCCAGCTATGAGCCTGCGTGCCCCCCAGGACCCAGCAGAGCAGAGTCACTCCTAGGGAGGAGACCTGGAATTCACCCAACTTGCTGGCCTGACTAGAAGGGAGAAGCAGGACGTGCTGCACGATCCCGATAGTGGAAGAAGAGAGAACCCGGTGGGATGGAATGAGGGAAATCAGGAGACAGGGAGGCTCTCGAGGTGGCGAATGGGTGACTGCGATGCAGCTAGAGGAGGCAGTAGTAAGAGAAACCCCAAGTGCACGCAACTGAGCCACTAAGACAGCTCTGCCCACTCCATCAGGGCTGTGGGTATCAGACTTTCCTGCCAAGACATTGCAGGATGGCTTTTCCAGAGAAAGCATCATTAGAAAGCTACAGTGCTCCTAGGAATCCGGTGCCTGGCCTTCGCCAGCGATCGTAATTCAGGTAGTTATCCTGCAAGAGGCTTCCTACGGAATCCCTCTGGCTGAACCAGAGCCATTGGGAATCCAAACCCCCACCAGCACCAGAGCTGGCTCCTGAGCCAGACTCTATGGCCTGGGTGGGTTCTCCACATGGGAGGGGAAGGCACCCATCACTGCTGCCCATGGCTTCCTTTGGAAGGGTAGGTTCTAGTTGCCTCTGCTGCTGTGTCTTGCCTCCAGAAAAGCGTGTTGGATGGAGACTGCTGTCACGTAGGAACTTCAGCTACTCTACGGCCCCTATGGGCTTCAGAGTCCCAGCGGGATAGACTCTGATCCCGCACCACACACACAGAACCGAGCACTCAAGGTGAAGGCCCCTCAGTTGTTAGTAGCACAGACTTTCAAGACTTTCATGAGAGCAGGTCAGAGTCGGGCAGAGGGCCATGGTTACACCATGCATCAGCCAAAGGGCAGGGGAAGCTGGTGAGAGTACAAAATAAACCCACTCCTCCACTCAGATGGCAGGCGCCCCAGGCCCACCCCCACCATTCCAGCCCTACTCCCTCTGCCTTAGAGAAATAAAAGCCACAATGCAGCAGGGCCCCATGGGAGAGACAACACACGTCAGTCTCTGGCCACGTGCAATAGAATGAACCCTGAGTCTCCTGCTCAGAGTGAGAAGCCCAGTGCAGGTGGCCAGTGGGCCAGGCTGTTCCCAGCAGGCTGGTTACCGTAGGCGGTGGCATTGAGTTGCAGGCACAGGGACGAGTTGCAGCACTCCAGGATGCACTTGCTCATGCTCACGCTGCTGTTGGTCACACACATCTCGGTGCTGTTCCCTCTCCCACACTCACTGCTGCACTTGGCTGTGTAGTTTGTATGGGTGAGACGATAGAGCTGCAGGGACAAGGGAAGAGCCAGAGCCATGTATTCAAGATGCTGTCAGCCACACTCGGCCCATGCGCCCAGCACTGCTTTAAAGGGGTGGTGGCTGGCGGAGCCATGGAGCTCATGGTGTGGGGTAGGCTCATCTCTGCACTCCCCCATGCCACTGAGAACAGCCTGAAAAACTGCACCAGGGATTGCTCTGGGCACACTGGAGCCAGGGGGAACCCCTGGAACGGGGGACACCCCGATACAGCCAACAGACGGCTCTGACAGCAAGGAGAAATTGGCAAGCTCTAAGGTGAGCTAGTTCTATCCCAGGGAGCAGGTCATGGGAGACAACAGGCTGCTCCTGCGAGCACTAAGCAAAGGCAGGTTTCAGAACATAGGAGACAGGATGGGGTTAAGGAGGAAAGGATGGTGGGGAAGGGGACGGACAAACCAGGGTTAGGAGTATGACAAAAAACAGTCAGAGCAAGAATAAGTGACAGACTGTGCAAGAGGAGAGCGAGAACAAGAACAGGAGCTGGGCACAGGTTTATGAGCCCCAGGGTTACCAGGCAATAGGCTGGAGAGGGAGGGAAATATTGTGACTCACACTGCATCCTCCTCCCCCACCCCCAAAACACATCACAGCAACCCAGGGCCTGGGAAGCTCCTGTTTAGGCTGCCACTTCTACGGCACCTGCCTGATCTCCCTCCCCTCGCGCAGGCAGAGCCAAGACATCAGACAGGACGCTCGCCCACTGTCTAGGAGTGCTGCCCCCAGGGCGTTGGTGCGAGCCGGTCACTCAGGCAGGGAGCAGCAGAGGTGACTGGCACAGTGCCCACGCGGAGAACTCCCCTACCTCACAGTGAGTCTCATTGTGGCAGGTCACGGTGTCATTGGCATAAGCTTCGTCCTGGTAGCATCTCTCTCCAGAGCACTGAAAACTCGGGCAGGTGAGCTGCGGAAAGAGCACACACACTGCGAGGGCACAGACCTGCCACCTGCCCGACCCCGCCCAGGCCAGCCCCACGCTGGCAATGCACCCAGCAGCGCTCCCCTCGGCTGTCATTTGCTGCTGCCTTGCAGATCGCTCACTCTGCCTCTGGCAGTGTCTGCTCAGCTGCCCTAGGATGGACTCTGTGGTCTCATGCAGCACCAGGAAATCCAGCTTTGGGGGAAGCCTTAATTGTCAGCTAGGGTAGCTTCTTATCAGCCACCCCCTGGAGCCCCGGCCCGCCCAGCAGAGCCGCAAAGGAACTCTGCTCTTCTCTCGGCTCCCCACTCACACCCCTCCCACCTCTCTGGGCTCCTGGCAGAAACCCTGGACACTATTTGGCCGATGGCAGATTCCTTACAGGTGTGTCTTCTGTCCAATTCGCAGAGTGGTTGGAGACCATCCATGTGCTGGAAACAGGGGAAGTCTCCGGAACAGAGGGGCTGGTGACCGAAAACGCACCAGGAGTAGAGCTCGGCTCTGGAAGATACAAGGTTTCCGAGTGATAAGTCATCAGGAGGGAAATGTATCTTGTGCTCATAACAAGTTGAGAGCGAGGTGTCCGGAGAAGCTGCAGCCCTTCCCTTGCATAGCACGCTGCCTGATGGGCTGTACAGAAATCGGCAGGGAAACCGTGTGTGGGATATGGAAGGTACCAGAGGGGAAATACTCTAAATGTGAGCGTCTGGGGAGCCAGAGACCATGTGGGGACAACACTCCACTGCCTGACTACTAGCATCAGCGATAAACGTGTGGCTGATTCTATAGCTCCTCCCTCACCGCTGGGACCTCCACTGAAGGGGTGAGCCTGGCCCCATAACCCTGCTCACCAGTGACGCTTTGGAGAAGTCTTTCCTAGGATTAGATCTGCCTCAGAAGGGAACAGGCTGGTAGCTGGGGAGGCAGGTTAAACCACAGCTGCATGGAGAGAAGAGCTCGGCGCACGAGTCAGAAACGCTGAGATTTTTCCTGTGTGTGGTTTCCCTTGTGGGCCCCCCCCCGAAACATCTGGACAGGGCGGGGCAGGCGTCCAAACAAAACCTGTTGCTGTTGCCACCTCTATCGCAGTTTCCCCAAAAGGAGCCTACAGTTCTCCCCCTTGGCCAGTCTGCACCTCACCTGCTGATGCAACAGGATTCCAAGAGCTAAAATGCAGAGTCAAAATGCAGAGCAGGAGGAACCCTGGAACAGAGAGAGGAGATTGCACAGCTTGTAACACCTGCTGCCAGAGTTACTCTGCTGCTGAATACGCTGCATTAGGGAAGTGTCGGTGTTCTCACACTTGGGCTCCAAGGCCAAGACACTTTGAGTCATCGGCTTTAAAAGTCCTGGCAGAAGAGGGTGTCTGGGAGGCACAATGGCCACCTCTCTCCTACCCGGGGGGGGGGGGGGGGGGGCACCCTGTTGAGTCAATGGGCACAGCGTGTGAGCAGGAAATGCTGCAGGAGCCTGACCATGCTCTGGAGACAGCAGCTTTAGCTAGAGAGCCATACTCCCTCCTGACTGTCCTTGGACTGCTCTCTTCCCAATTCACTATTTTTGCTCAATAAGAAGACTGATTAATCACTTGTCAAGGCAGCATGAAGGGCACCCCGAATCCAGGACTGAGTCCTCCAGGATAGCCCCAATCCCATACAAATGCGCTGTGGAGGGCAGAGGGAGCGTGTCGCAGACACAGAACAGCAATGCTGTATTCACTGCTCAAGGGATGGGGTGAGCTGTAGGCATCGCACAGTTTACAGGAAACGTCACCAAGGCAGCAGCGTCTGAGCAGGATGCAGCCCTGAGCCCTGGGCCATCAATTCCCAGCAGGAGCACACCGTGCATGGGCTGTGACACTGCCTGGGGCATGCCAGCACAGGCAAGGGACGTGAATACCCTGCCATTCCTCATGCCACACAAGCGACACAGCCATTGTCTAGAACTGTAAGGGCCCAGGTGAGCCCGGAGAGGATATTATTTGTGGGCCCTTTGAGAGGCCAGAGGAAGCAGCTCTCACCAGCCTGGGCACTGCCAGGAGAGCAGAGGCACTAGCATGGCAGAGCACCACAAAGCTTCAGCCCAGCAGAAGACCCCTCGTCGCAGTGCTGAGTTACCAGGGCAAGTGGCGGAGCTGCCTGGTCCAGTGATGTGGGGTGTCCTGGTAGCAGAGCCTCTCCCACAGCACTGGGGGAGCTGCCTGCTGTCTCCGAGATCCCTGGCAGTCACCCCCCGCACTAACAGCTGCTCCCTCCACAGCGCATCAGTGGGGCTCACACCAGCACATCCACCCCGTCACACTGGAGAGTGCACGTGGCGGCCGTGTGTGGGGCACACACTGTAACAGAGTGCAGGAACCGCAGGCTGAGACTAGCCAGAGACTTTGCACAATACCTGGGCTGCTGACCACACTCAGAGGCCATTGCTCTGGGACACTGCTAGTGCCAGCTCCACGGTACATGAGCCCTGTGTTTTCATCTCTCCCCCAAGAACTCCGTGCTGCCTTATTCCTCCCATTCGCACTGTGTGGCACGTGTCCTGGGGTGAGACTGGGTTTAGTTCATTAGTGGTTCCAGCACCAGCTACCCAGCAGCCAAAGCAGCCTGAAGGCAGACGTCTGAGGGGGCAGGGGAGGAACATTTTGTCATTTAGCAGGTTTGCTTTTAACAGGCTGGGATTGTCACTGACACTTTGCTCCTGAAATGAAGTCACTTACCTCGGCCTGGAGCGACCCGGCGTTCCCAACCTGCCATCTTCAGCCAGGGAGGCGCTCGCACCAGCAGAACCCTGGGGGCGGGGGAGGGAAGACAGAGTAAGAGCCGCATCTCACTGCCATGGGACCCCGCTGTGAACGTAGACTCCAGCCTACACCCATGATACAAACTGCTCCGTGCTGACCTGGCTGCAGCTCCCTGTGAGCCATAAGGCTCCAAGGCCAGCAGGATTCGGGTTTACTTTCCTGAGAGGGCAATTCAGAGCATCTCAGGACCTTGTCAAATGTCAGTAACTCTCCATGGCTGGCAGTGGCCCTTCCCCCGTGGAAACTCCCCGGGTTGTGTGTTTAGAACACGATGGAATTTGGGCCAGCGAAGCACGGGTCTGGCCTCTCAGTTGTCTGCGGTCAGCTCTCCTCATGGGCCTCACTATCCCCAGATCCAGCACCTGCTGCCCCACCACTCGCCAGAGCATCATGTGGGAGAACCAAGCTCTCCTTTGACATTACACTCCTAGTCCTTGTGACTGAGCCTACCCCGCCTGGCGGGTGCATCATACAGCCCAGTGACACCTGTCAGGGGCCTCGTTCCAGGTTAACAGCCTCCTCATCTCAGTCGACTTTGCCTCTGAACCAAACGACATACCAGTGTCAGCGCAGGGCGTTCTTTCACTGCGTCATTTCGCTGACCCTCCGACTAGCTCACCGTCATAAACTGCCTCCCAGTCCTACCACGCCGCCCAGCCTGGGCCAGCAGCCAAAGCCCCCCGTCCCCTCCAGCAGCTCCACACTGAGAGTGTCACGTCTGCAGCATGCTGCAGACAGACGTAGGGGCACAAGTTTAACATCAGGCTAATGCCGCAAGGAGGCCTAAGCCAAACGGGCGGCATCTGATCTCATTCAGAAAGAGCTTCCTGTTCCCACCAGACCTGCCACGGCTGCCCTCTGAACGGCTGCTGGAGCCAGGGGGCTTCGCTGCTCAGTGTGGATTATGTGGCGCCCGTGGCTACACCCAGGTATTTGCAGCTGGAAGCAGGGTCAGATGCAGCTCCACCCGGGGAGCAGAGCAGAAGCTCCCTGCCTGCAGCGGGTGCTGGAGAGAGAGCTGGCTGGACAGCCCTGCAGCACCTTCCCACCTGGGCTCAGGTTCCAAATGGAAGTGCCCCTTGCCAGCCCCTCTGCTCCTGCAGCCCAGCTCAGCAGGGAGCTTGAGACGGGCCAGCTTTGTCCTGATCACAGCCCGAGTCCTAGATTTAACTACACAGAGGTGCTACCGGGGGGACAGTTCGGGGGCTGCAGGCTGGTCAGACAGGCAAGTCAGCGCAGCTTTAGCAACACTGGAGAGCGCTCCATGGCAGTAACTCCCAGAGAGGCCCTGGGGTATCGATCAGAGATAAATAAGATCCACCCATAGGAGGGCTACACACTGTGCTGGCTAGTTGTGAGAGTCACCCCAGGGAACAAAAACAAAACCGTGCGACTGGCAGAGCTAACCATGGTTAAGCCAGGCCATGTCCACACTACAGCCACGCGGCACTGCCAGGGCACTGCAGCCAGGCCGCTGACAGCAATCGGGGTTTTCCGCGATGCTGTCACTGTTACCCACCCCGCCGAGTGATGGCAGCTGGGTCGACAGTAGCACCCATCCGTGGACCTAGCTGCGCCGCTGCCGGGGGTTAGGTCTGCATGGCTGCGGCTCTCAGGGGTGTGATTTTCACCCCTCTGAGTGCTGTAGCTATGTTAAGCTAACTTTTTAGTGTCGGCCTAGAATGGCGGAGGCCAGTGCTCACTGTTCACTAGTATCCGCACAAGGACACCTCAGCCATGGGCAGGTAGCAGACAGGAATCAGAATTCAGCCAGAGACCCAGGAGGCCTCAGACTCATCGCTCCACTACTATAGCTATTCTCCAAGGTGCACTTTCAACCAGCCCCTCAACCCCCAGAGCTCCCCACCCCCTCTGGATGATTCTGGCACGGCTCACGCTGGGAGTTCTGCCCTTTCTTCATTTCACCAGACGTGTTTAGTCCAGCTTCCCAATCAGCCCCCTGGGGGACGCAAGTCCCCCACTGCCGCACCAGAGAGGCAGCTCTCCCTTTCGCAGGAGGCTCTAACCTGATCCAGTTTGACAGAGGTGTTCCCAGAAACCCCCAGGCAGACTAAGCAAGAACAGGCAGCTCAACTCAGTTCACCCGGCTCCCCTTCACCCTCGCCCCTAGCTCTGCACCCAGCCATCCAGCTCCTCTCTCCCTTTGCTGAGCCTGGGAACGTCTTCATTCAGCTGCCCCAGTGGGCTCACGCTGTTAGCCCCCAATGGAGCCCAGGCCTGGGTCCCTGCCCCCACCTGTGCCTGCCGGGGCAGCTCTCGCCTCTCATGCTGCTGCTCCTGCTTCACCCAGGGACCCTCGTCACCCTCACAGGTTTCTGAGCCGAGGGGCAGAACTGCAAGAGATGCCCCTGCCACCACCCTCCTCAGGCGCAGCAACAGGGGCCCTTCCAGTCACCGAGGCAGCCACAGCAAGTCAACAAGAGCCGAAATGGGCCTCAGGGAGCAGGGCTCCACGGGGGCCGACGGTCAGAGAATCTGCCCACTTCCCAGAGCTCCCCTCAGGGCCTGAGCTTCCGCAGTCTCGCAGCACCATGTTAATACGTGCAGAGCGCTGCATGGGCACAGGGCACTCCCGCTGGCTCGTCCCAGGGAGAACCATGCGGCCCTGAGCTACGGGTTATGGTTGCCTCCAAGCCAGCGGGACAGTCCTGCCTGGGGCCTGCAAGGCGTTTCCAGCCAGGCCAGGCCCTCCCTCACTCGCAGCCACCACGTCAGACGCAGCGCTGCCCAGACTCGGCAGAGGTGGGGGGCTCCCTGCCAGGAACTTGCACTGAGGCAGCCCATGCTGAGTTCTCTTCTTGTGCGGCCAGTGGGGCTCCTCGGTCTCTGGGCTACTGACCCAGCCCCTCCCCCCTACTAACACCAACGGTAGGGCATTCCTAGACACGGTCGTCCAGCAACAGAGCCACACTCTGCTTTTAACCTCAGAGGCTGCCTGGGCTACATGGAAGGAAGAGCAGGAGTTGAGACTAGATAGATCCTGGGGGGTCTCAGTGCAGATTCTTGTCCCCGTAACACTGCAGCTGGGGGAGCTGCACAGTGTATTGTGCAAATCCAGGGGGCTAGGGTATCGTGCTAGACATTTAGGAATGTGGTGATGGCAGAGATTGTTCAGCTGAGCAACGTGAGGGCCTAGCAGACGCAGTACTGGGAAGGATGCAGGCTCAGACCCGGAGTCTAACCTCAAACCTGGCACAACCATCATTTTGTTTCCCGTAAGGCTCCCCAAACTCATCAAGGCTGCCATAGCAACCAGGCAGCAGCATCGTCCAGGGGCTCAGAAAGAAGTAAACACACATGGGAGCCCCCGTGCAGCTCCGTTGATATAGCGACATTGTGTTTGCCTGAGTCTCACAGGTAATTCGTAAAGCTGCAAACAGACCTGGTGAGCGGCAACGCCTCTGGGTTACTGTGTGGCTAGGCATCGGGCAGCAATTAGCCTCTTCTATTCAAAATAAAGATGTGAACAGCTGGGAAAGAGGGGCCTCTCTGCCAGGAATGAGTGAGCCTGTAACTACGGTGCTCGGCTCCCACACAGGAAAGGAGGGGGCTGGTGATCCTGCACTCAGCTCAACCCTCTGAACCCTGCATTAGGGAACACCCGTCACATTTCTCCTTGGGCAGGGACGAATCCTTCTAGAGCGAGTACTGGAGAGTGCAACGATCTCATCTTTACCCAGTGGCCTTTATGAAGAACCACCCCAGGGTTGCTAAGAACTCTCCCTAGAGGAATCACTTCACCCATCTTTAAAGTGCAAACAGCGCTGAGATACATTTCACAGCAAATAGCATCACAAGAGTCCAGGGGAGCAAGGGAAGACAAGTCCCCCCCTCATCCACATGAAACTGCAGAAGAGGGGAGTAACGTGAACAGCATGTAATTACCCGGCCTGCAGTTTGCCAGGATACTGGGACTTACATCCCCAGCTCCCACGAGAAGTTCCAGTGAGCTAGAAGACATGACAGGGTAGATCTTGCCATTTGTTACAGCATCAGTTGAGTTATGGAACACACTGGACTTGCATCTGGGTTCCCTTCACTTCACTATGGACCAATAGAATCAGCAGCATAACTCTCCCCCTCTCCTGAATAGCTTACTTTACTTTTCACCTTTCTCCAACTGCCAAAGCCGCTTTCCTGGTGGATAGGCTGATGGGAGGTCTTATGCTGCGCAAACAGTCTGGAGCGAGGGTAACAACCTCTGAACACACATACGAGAGCTCATCTCTAACACAACAGCTTCATCTTTCACTAGTCCGCAAACCTGATTTAAAGCTCCCGTAACTGACCCTTGGGCCCCAGCTTTAGGACATTGGTAAAATATCAGCCAGCTATCAAACCAAGAGCCAGAGGCTCTGTGCTGGCCACAAGGGGCCATGGCCCCAGTTTACTTCTCATCCGAAAGTCGGCCCTACGCCCAGCTCGTTAAACCTACTAAGTCCCATTCTGGCCCTTCCCCTTTTGTTGCCCCATTGAGAGTCCCTCCCGGAGATAACAACCGTGCAGAATTCATTAGGTGACAGCGCTAGCCCCAGCGGCTAAGGGAACCCGGGCACAGGCAGGCCAGACAGGCTGGGTTTAGGTCCGGCTCACGGGCTGACATTCCTGCTTGCCCCGTGCAGAAGGCTCAGGTGGGATGTCAGGGGCACACAGGCCTTTTGCCAGGCCCCTGCATATGGGGATTTTCACCTTGAATGGAGAAGGGAAAATACTCGCAAGAAAAATGCCTATTTCCAAAAACACCCCTCCTGGCCCCTTGGGGTTTAGCAAAGAACAGCACATGGGCCTGATAGTTCTGGGGCATAACTGATGTGGAACATTCACAGCTAAAACAGCCTCCACTGATGGGAGAGGGAAACACTTCAGATTGTAGAGAGCTCCACATCCCTTCTGCAGTCCCTTTCTCAGCGACGGGCACAAAGAGAAGCTGTCTCCCAGTCCCCTGGCATGCCCAAGCCGTGCAT